TAGCATCCAGTCTAACACACCTCCACACACCTTTTCCTGAGCCTGCTTCCATCACTTTTCCTTCTCTCCTTTCCTTTTTGGTGATCAAATGCATTGAACTATCTCAACGTCTGATCTTATCTCCTCTGATTTCCTGCTTCTCATCATTTCATTCCAGAAGCTTTGCCCGTCTACTCCCAGAACCTCCACCAAAACACCGCTCCCCCACATCCCCCCCGTATCCATCGCTCTCCCTTTCTGTCTCTCCCTTAAACGCACGTGTCTTTGATGAGAATCCATTCATGGATTTAATGGATTTCTCTTGCCTCTTTTTTTTTCTTTTTTCAGGATCTGGGAGATGGGTTAAAAAAATATATAAATATATATAAAAAAAGAGGGAAAGCTGGCCTGCTCAGCCTCTGCTTCCAAGAGCATGGCGGACTGCAGAGGACAGCATTTCTGTCTGCATCAAAAGAATGAGAAATTTTCAGCTTACAAAACAGGGCGAACGAGTCAATATGGATCTGAGGTCTGGCTGACTTCAATTGCATGTGGGAAAAAAAGAAACAGGGTGTAAGAAATAGTAAAAGTTTTCCCTGCCCACTGCAAAGTCAAACTTGGAGACAGATAAGAAAGTACAAAAAAAAAAAAAAAAGGGAAAGTAAGATGTTCAACCTTTGGTGAATCTTTTTTTGAAGAATCAACGTTGAGCTGACAAAAAGGATGGAGAAATCATTAATCTCTTCATGAAAGTGAAACTAGCGCATTGCTGATAGTGTTATCTGTCTGAGTTCAACGCAGCTTTGAATCCACTCCAGACTGCCCAGCAACTGTGGGGCATTTTTTTTCTTCTTGCGTACATAAAAGACACACAGAGGAATTAAAGCGGGGCCTAAAAGATAAAACAACTTTTAGCTGAAAACAGCCTTCGCATATCCAAAAGGGACTGATAGTAAATAGCGTGAGTTCTTCAAATAAAGATTACGCTGTCGTAAGCACACTCTCTTTCTTGGGTCTTTCTCGCTTCAGAATTACTGATTCTGTTCGCCATATGGAGCCAAAATGGCCGCCTGGGTGCTTCGGAGGTCCCTGCATTCCGGGCCTAATGCTGCACAGCTGGTGTGGGATGGTGTTTAATGAAAAATGCTCTCTTTGATGGGCCCTGCAGTAAGGATTAGTTTATGATCAACACCACCTTAGGTCAGCTTCCTGCTAGGCAAGCACAAGATTATGAGCGATTTCGCAACCGTGGGTCCAGCTTCTAAGGCGGCGAACGAACGAATATGACAGAGAGAAAGTAAAAAAAGCACGAAAGCAAGAAAAGAAGATGGATACTTGATGGAAGATTTCATTGAAGTACTTCCTGGTGTGTTAGGAATAGCAAAAAGCAATGCTGAACAATGGCTCTATTGAAATGCTGCGGTTTTCTCTCTACAACTGACCTTGCACATTTCAAAACAGTATATTCCACGATGATAAGTGGGTTACCCCAAAGACCCAAAAGTACAAATAGTTTTGATTTTGACAGCACTATTGCCCAACTTTTTGTTTAGGCATATTCGGTTGATTTGATTGAGCAGTTCAGGGAAATCTGTCCTTAGGGTCAGATAGCATTGGCCTATTTGTATTCTTAGCCAAATGCTCCGACATTTAAAACAGTTTCCCAGACTCACTGCAGCCACAAATGTTCTAGACATTACCTGAGCAAATGTAAGCAGTCAGGACTGGACACTGAGCAGTTTTTAACGTGCCAGCTTTCTAGTTTGAAGTCTGATGTCCGAGTGAGCCTGTGACAACAGATCGAGAATTCACAGAAAGCAAGTGGACGTCACGTGTCCCGCCTCCTGCGCACTTTGCCCATGCAGTACTCTCACCTCAACCAAACTGCTCTGCAGCAATGAGAACGTGCTTGGAGTGAATGTCCCTCATTATGAAAGGGCAACTTCGTGCAATGTTCAGACTAAATACCCAGGGTTGTTGGATAAAATCTCCTAATAGCAGGAGATGAGGTGCCTACCAAAGATTTTAAAGAGACCAGAAACTTTGCTAGAGCAACAAATCAGGTTCAGTAGATCTAACAGCTGATGTGAAAATGAGAATCACTGTTTATAACACTCAGCCTCCAAAACAAAGCTTCTGCATCCCATCTTTCTTGACTTCAGGTACTGTTTTTAAGCACAAGGCTTCTAGGAAACCCCCTCTCTTTTATACAGGTATACAACCTCTTCAGTTCATCCTCTTTTTCTCAAATTCACTGTTTAACTTATTCGAGATGTTCTGTTGCTGCTTTTGATGTTTTCCCAGGTTGTTTTCTTCTTTGACTTTTGGAAAACATGCAGATTCCCCACACCTCCTTAACCGTTACTACACCAGGCATTCCAGTATTCATTCACCCAGTCAAAACAGAGTTAAAAACCCATATCTTATACTTTCTCACCTTCTCAAGTGCAGCATCCTTCTCCTGCTGGTGGTTTCTCTCGAGCCGGTCCAGGGTTGCCCGTTTGTCCTGGGTTGCTCTTTGCTTTTCCTCCTCCTGGAGCAACGCCATCTCGGCCAGCTGCTGCTTATGCTGGGCATGGGCCTTCTTGAGGTCCTCACGTAGCTCTGACAACTGGGCCTCCAAATCTGCAATTGTCTGGACAGAGATAAAAAGAAACCTGCTGAATTAAGTAAATTAAAATTAATGTCCAGTTATTTTTTTCCCCTCTATGTGTAGAAGGCTTTCTGCTCAGGCTCACACTGCATTTTGCAAAGGTGATTACTTTCAAATTTGCTGAGGTCATTATTTGAAGCTTTGTTCAATATGAGCGTCCCACCATTGTAACACTAAGTACATCACAAAAAATACAAAAAAAGTCCACATTTTAAGTACAGGTTTCTTGTATTTCTGTTTACTGAGAATTGCATATTGAGGGTTTTTTACCATCTGTGCTGTCATGGTCCTGGATCTTAGACCCAGGGTTTAGAATTTTTGTGGGTTCATGACTGCTTTTGGTTTTGGGAATGAATTGTGTTTGAGTTTTATTGTTTGTTTCTTTTGTAACACCGGCTGTTCTGTTGATACTTTTGCTTGATGTCATTTATATCTTCCAACAGAGTGTGTGCGTCTTGGTGAGGCAGTTTTTAGTAAGTTCCCTTTTGTGCTCCATTCTGTTCCAGTCAGTGTTTTTCTCCTTCAGTGTCAAGTTCAATTCAATTTTATTTCACAACAACAGCTGCATCAAGGCACTTTATATTGACTTTGCATTAATGGAGAGAAAACTCCAACCCCAACAATCCGATGGAATCCTGTGAGCAAGGATTTGGCAAAAGGGGGAAGGAAAAACTCCCTTTTAATAAGAAGAAACCTTCAGCAGAACCAGGCGCACGGAGCCATCCGCCATGAAATTCGTCTTGGTCCCTGCGATGAAGCCCTTACCCCTCTCTCGACCTCTCTCAGCCTTGACTTTGCTCCGAAGAACGTTTTAATAGCGCTGCCAGTGAGAGTCAACATTACATAGTAAGAATGCTAATAAGTACAACCCTTCACGGCCCATGAAACACCAGAAATAGACTGGTCTGACATGCTGTGAAGCTGCATCTCAAGAGTTTGGGAGATGTCAAAAGGAGAAGATAAGTCTACTGTTTTGTCAAACCTACATCACATATTTAGGATGATGGAGACTATCTGCAAGAAATACGGGTGGGGGAATTTACATTGAAATGTGCCTTCTATCCTTACAGCTACTTTAGTTAGCTGTATTCACATACATTCAATACTGTAAACAGCAATGGACAGAAAAAATAAAACACCTCGCAGGCATATTGTAATCATTTTACACAAATTACAAGCAATGAGCAAAGAGCATTGTAGTTAAGTGTAGGTGGATCTAAGATGAATTGCAGTGTTTCACACTTCCCTACCTGTATTGCATGTATTCCCCAGCTATTGCACATCCTCATTACTCTCCTTGGCTTTTTTCTTTTTACTCCTCTTACTGTGGTTTGCACTGTGCGCTCAGGCTCCTGCCCCCTCCCTCTCCTCAAAAGCCTGGGCATCCCAGGACAACGCCACGTTAAGGCAATCAGACAGAAAGCGTCTGAAGTCTTTTTTAGCGGGCACTGGGGAGACTTCAAAGCAGTGTCACAAAAACAGGCAGATGTTGTGGCTGTGTTTCACTCGCTTCTACATTGGCACGAACACACACACACACACACACACACACAGATCCATTTGCACACATACAGACACACACATGCCTACACAGAGAAGCAGCCACACATGGCACACTGTCACACACATAGGTTGCCATGCAGCGCATTCAGAGAGAGAGAATGTGAGGTAAAACAAACAAACGCATGCAATCCTCTGCGTCCCACTCTTCTGTCTCTCAATATTACCAGTCTCACTGCTCCTCTAGTGCCTTCTTCAAGTGCAAGCAGCTATGAGATCTGAGCCCTCAAGAGTCTTTAATGTATAATTCTCTCTTTAACAAATGTGGATGATGTGTGCTCCAAAAAAATCTTTTAATAAGTTAGAACATAATCTACCAGAACAGAGACATTGCCAATGACACTTCAGGAACTTAAGAGGCCAAAAGTGCATGTTTTCATTGGGGGGAGCGAACACAGTCGCTTCAAGAGGGCACGTGTTAGCAGGCTGATGGGGAGCTCTGTGAAGGAGCAGCTCTTGGTAACAATAGAAGAGTGTCAGATGAAATACTGGGTCAAACCGTGTCAGCTAGGATGACAAAACACTGGCAAAACAACCTCAGGGAGAGTGGTTAAGGACTGAATAAGAGTTCAATCAAGGGAAAATATCACAGTCAAGTAAGGATCAGTCATAAGACTTTATCAACACTTATAAAGATTGTATTAAGATTCTCTAAAATCCTCTACGAGACCACAACTAACTGCTTTTTCTCCTACTCTCCACTAAACTGCACAGTGACAACCCCGCACAGCTAGGATGAGCAGTGATTCTTCTGTGAAGAAAACAAAATGGCTCATTTTTAAAATGAAGAAATGCATAATAAACGATGGGTATCTGTGAATATGCTTTATCACGATTTCACAAAACAGAAAACAAAATAATGAGGAAAAACGTGCAATCAGTTCAGTATATCTAACATTAATTGAGTCTCAACAGATTTGCATAATTACTCCGCTGGTATGCCAATTAGGCTCTTTTAGAGACTTTAATGTCAGATGTTAAATATGAAATGAGACTGTAACTGTAACCAGAGCCCGACCCTCATTTAAGTCGGCCGGTATCACAGGACGATAGGGACTCATCAAAGGTACAGTGTCAGAGTGTGTTAGATGGACCAAAATATGAAATTAAAGAACATAATGCAGAAAGAAAAGATACAGATGATGCTATCACAGAATCACATAGTCGGTCTAGACCAGCTCTAGTCTATAGCTACTGTATACTGTTGTAGCACAATTAGCATTAGAGCTAAGAAAATGATGGAGGAGAGAAATCTGTTTGCCCATTATCAAGGGACCATGACAAAACATAACATATGGTACATACTGGTACATACTAGCTTTATGTATTACAGTTACACCTAAATGTAACAGAGCTATAATTATTCTTAGCAGTTTCACCTTTATGTTCCTTCAGATTGAACTTGTGAGCTGTGATAACAACGCAGGAAGTTGTTTTCATGATTTCCGAACTCTGAGAATTCAGAAAGTATCCACTTGCAATGTCAAGAATAGCACAAGAAACACGCTGGAGGCATTTCTAATTACTGCCCTCGTCAACAATGTGAGCACTACCCCGTTTGGAGGCACCGCATCTCGACTCGCATCCTACGAGTGAGGTCTATAGTTTAACATTCTGACTGCAGGCAGAAATATTTATCTCTGCGCATACAGCTGGCAATATCCTATCTTATTCTATTCACGCAATATTAAGTTAACGGTTTCTTTTTTATGATGAATTTCTGTATCCACAGCTTTCTGACAGAATTTCAAAGGCAATTTTTTGGTAATAAAGGTGACAGTGTTGCATAATGTGATGTATAATGCATATTATTTACATATAAACACAAACAGAGTGCGAGACATTTTTACTGAAACAGAGCTCGACGAAGTTTTGAAAATTTCACTTTCAGTGTGACGGTAACAAGTTTTGCCAAAGATGCATGCAGCGATCTCGACAATATATCACGACTATAACTACGCTTTTGGTTCATCGCTCAGAATTCTGGACTCTGGCATCATGTCGGGGTATGAACATAAATATATGGCCTCCTTCAAGGCGGTTTGGGTTATAAGCGCCGACTGTTCACTTAACATCTAATTTAGTATCGCAGAATTTTGCAGTTTAACAGGATAACTGAAGCTGTTTGTTTCATCAGTGAGCGCTCATAATCTTTCGACTTGCGTAACTCTAAAAAGTGTTGTATGCAAACCCCCCCCCCAAAAAAAAACTAACCTAACAACAGAATAACTCTGCAAAGTATAAAGTCAAGTAGAACACACGCATGCACTGACGTGTGACATTTGACTCTTTATAGGCAATTAAAATGTGTAGCTGAATTGTGTAATGAATGATTCGCTGTTGTCAGGCAGATAACGTGTGTGGCTGGAATCCAACATGTGATGTATGCACATAATAAATGGCTTTGGGGTTTGAAAGGGGAGCATGTTGTAACACTCCACACATCACAGAACATCAGCATTCGCTGATGACTTGAGGCATGATCAATAGCTCCCCAGTGAAAAACAAAAATCAGCTGAGTTCTAACATAAATACTCCCCCGTGAGAAAACGTGATGAAATCTGTTGAGAAAAAACACAAACACAATGACACCTCAACTCAAGAGGATATTCACGTGCCACTGAAATCAGCGTGTAACAAAGATTTACCTGACAACACCCGGGGACCAATCATTTCATAAATGACAACATGGAAGGATTGAAACAACAAATGAGCCCCCACCCCCCTTCCACACACACACACACACACACACACCCTTCTAACTACACTTTCTTGTTCTCTTGATTTTTTTACCTTTGACTCAGCCTGTCATCACCCTGTTCATTTGACTCATTTTAATCACGTATTTGGGAATGAAACGCTTTGAAAAATTGACAGCATCATTATTTAGTCCATTACGGCCCAGAAGAAAGACCCCGCAAGACTCGCGCTCTCTCCCCCATGCTGTTTGAAGTCCAGATGGTGCGTACGTTCCTTTATAAAAAAAAAAAAAAACACAATTATTCGGGAAAATAATACCCATAAAATGAGTTTTGAGGAGGGGCAGGTGGAAAAAATATGAACGATGGGTTTTGCATAGAACAAACAATCCTGATGTTTGCAGAGAAGAAAAAAAAGAAACACACATACAAACACAAACTTCCAATTAATTTATAATGCTGGCCCTAGTTTTTGAAGTCAAACTCTTACTAATGTTTAACAATTGAAAAGCTTCGCAGGAAAAAAATAGAATCAAAATAAACAGAAATGAATAAAAAAATAAATAATCGAGAATGTGATAGCACACAATAGCACACACAACAACATACTGAAATTTTCTGCTGTAAAATCCAATACTTGTCTGTTTTCTTTTATTATGGATATTTTACTGTTTAGAAGTTTTAGTAAGTATATAAACAAACACACACACACACACACTGCTAGAGTCTCCAGAATGGAAGCGAGAAAGTCCATGCCATCATTATTTGTGCTGCTTCGTCCTTTGGGGGGCATTAACCAGCTAACAAAACACGCTATGGGCGAACATGTTTCACCAGCAAGATATTTCATCAATTTAATGGTTCAACCAACTCAAAGTCTCTAGTTCATTCTGTAATGAGAACATTGAACAATGTTATTTTTTTTCCTCTCTTTTAGAAATCCCATGATTATAAAAGACTGATATGTAAACATGTAAACAATGATAACTCCTTGCATATGATCGTCCTTTATGCAAACGTAGCCCCGATAACGCCGCTGTTATTATAAGTGGCGACTACATAGTGGAAGAATCCAGAGTTTCCTGGATGATAAACTCTGGTGGGATGAGGACAGTGTGTCCCTGTGTGAGTCGACTCACTGGCTCTGCTTCTCAAACACAAGCCAAGAGACAGGAATGCTATTTATTAGTGTCCCACCACATCAAGGGGATGAGTGGGCATTACTCACCCTGAGAGTGTGTGACAGACATTAACTGTTCTCTGTCCTTGCCAACTTTTTTTTTAGCTGAAACTGTCCTTCCACTGATTCAAGGAAGACTAAGAGAAAGTGAGAAGAGCTAGGCAGAAAAAAAACCAACAGGGGCCTGAGCCCTATTGCCACAGCAAGCCTTTGAGCTATCTGTTATGATATGATGATGTTGTGACTGTCGCTTGATGATATTATGGTCCACTGTTGTCTGAGGGGGAGCTCGGCAACACAAAAAAAGAATGAGCTGTAACACGTCCTGCAAGGAATTGCTCCATACTGTCTGCATGCAACAAAAATAAAAAGTTTTTTTAAATTAAATTCTTATATCACAACTTTCACACATTGTTTTTTAAAAGAGATGCATGTAAACAGCCAAGTGATATCAGTGTGGCAGAGCTCTAAGTGGAAAAAACAGCTTTAGCACTGCAGTTGTGTTTAATAATAAGTATGTATATAACAGGCATATTTTTAATACATATGGGCTGACAGTCTGCCAGCTTGCGGCTCTTTTTTAACAGCAAACAGCACATCTGTGCATCTGCTCTCACACAGGAAGTCAAACCAGCTCTTCCCCCCTACAAACCATCAGTTATCCATCTTTCCATCTTTCAGAGGCCTGAGTGAAAAATCCTGATTTCTGACGCTTTAACATCTGACATTAGGCAGGCGACTGATGTCTGCTGAAAATGCTGCAGGAGCAAACAGGAACTGAGAATGTGAAATGAGGACTGGGGAAGTTTGCTTTTTGTCACCTGCTGAGATTGTGTGACTGACATTAGCTGAGATTGTGAGATTTGTCAAACTGCACGTCATGTTGACACGAGCAGGGCGACATGCTATCAGTGGAAATGTCCTGTGGTGACGGCATCTAAAGAAACATCTCAGTTTTTTTTGGGTTAGTCTTTTGACACAGCTTCCAGCCTTGAAGATGGTTTATATTGCAATAACTTGGCTACTGTAGAAGTATACTGATATGGCTAAAAGATATACGGGGTCGATAAAATAATAGTTATAGTAAACAAATCCGAGCGCATCCTAAATATGGATTCATTTTCAAACTAAGTGGGAGCACTGCATCTTGTTTTAATGTTAAAACTCAAACCGTAGACACAGGATAAACTGATCAAATTTGTCTAATTGGGGAGGCTCAGGTGTATATTACTCCTTAAAGGATCACACTGCTGCATATTAGCTTTTACTAGTTCTAGGTATAAACTATTTCATTCTTATTGCATTTAAAGTCATTGTTGTCTTGTGAGGACAAAAACTAACCAGAAAATTGTCTAGGTTTGATTTCCTCGCCATTCGCGATGAGTCGGTGTGAGGAAATTCGGTCCACAAACGTAACAAAAGTCTCTCTGGGCTCCCATCGTCAGCTAACCGCCAATATACAAAATTCTCTACATGCTGCCAATGTTCATGTCATCAAGAAGCTTGAAGAGTCAAATACAAACCCCAGCTGGGGGCTGGTTTGTCGAATGGCTTCCCACAGAGCTCCAGTCTTGCCCAGGCTGGAGAGAGGCGAAGACAGTGCGTGATGGGGTCTGAGATGAAACCCTGCTCCTTTGGTTAAATGGTGACCACATAGTCTCTCAGTTGTCAGGGATATCCGTTAATATAGACCCAATATGTCATACACTCATTGTGGCTGACAATGCTGCAATAAGAGAATAATCGCTGTTTTCCGGAGGGAGATAGCTACCTGTGGTGAAAGGAGAATGGTAGGCAGAAAAATTCACTTTGGTGGGACTAAAAAGCGCTTTACAGGGCGTCCACAATTATCTAAAACACAAATTCAAACTGTGGTTGTGGAATAAAAGCTAGGCACTCAACAGCGTCGATTTCTTCCCCTTTACATAGATACCTGTGGGTCTTTTGGATTTTTGGTCTTTACACTTTACACAAAGCCTGCTGCGATAAAAAGTGAGTTAAAATACAACGGGGAAATCGTTTGAAGTTGGGACGGTGCCATTCTGCGTTTTGTTTATTCCATTTTTAAAAAACTTTTTTGTCGCGCGCAACATTGCTTCAAAACAGATTTTAATTACAACGGCAGCATGTACGATCTTCTGTGTTCTCGCGCTGAACATACGCTTTCTAAAATTATTCGCGCCGCACGTCAATATATGTCTTGCTTCAAATAAAAAAGTATCTCAACCTGCTGTGCTTTTGAAACCCCAGGAAAACGTCAATGAGCAAAATACAAAATGGTTGTCCACGGGAGACCGGCGGGTCAGCGCGTGTGTGTGTGCATGCGAGTGCGTGGATCAGTGAAGACCCCCTACCTGGGCATCGCGCTTCCTCCACTCCTGGGTGTGCTGCTGGTGCTGTTGTAGGGCGGCCCTGGCCTGCCTCTCCAGGCTGCTCGCCTCCCGCTGGTGCTCCTGGACCAGGCTGTCCTTTTCCGCGCTGTGCTGCTGCTGTAGCCGCGTCCTCTCCTGCTCGTGCTGCATGCGCTGCTCAGCCATCTGATTGGACAAGCAGGCAAAGAGAGACTTCATCAGCCAACACACACTCAGAGCAACCCTGTCGTCATGACAACTTGTCCATCCACCGATCCATCCATCCTTTCTTCGTCCTATTCCGTCAAACCCTCTTCCTCCACCCAAGAACCCCATGTGCCAAGCCAAATTTGGCGAAATTGGTAGGAAAGTGCGGGGAGGGGGGGAAAAAAGCGAGAAAAGTTTTGCTGCTTCCTCACGTCGTCAGAGGACGACATGATGTGATGTGTTTACATCTGGCTCGCTCCCCCCCGCCCTCCCGCCTCTCCTGCCAATTGTACAGACTGGCCCTCCATGTCCCACTCCTCTTTCTTCAAATCTGTCCCCCTCGCCTTATTCTGGGATCGGCATATAAAAGAGCCGCGAGTTTGGGCTATGCAAGCAAGCTGGTAGGGGTTAGCCATCTGGCTGCAGCAACTACCCAATGCCCCATGCTATGCGCCTGACAGCATGTGAAAATCGGCTTAGGCAATGACTATGATGATTATTATAAACCCAAATTAGAAAAAAAATGGAAAGAGAGGTGAAAGGAGAAGATGCTAAAATAGTCTTGGAACTGTATTATAATCTATGAATGAATTTAACTGATAGAAAATGCGCATATTAATGAAAATCAATTCCATTTTCTCAAAATGTAAATGTCTATGCCACCAGAATGTAACTGAGGTTTATGCTGCTAATGCAGTCGGCGTGTAGTAAGAACCTGCACCAACCATTCAATAAGAAGGCGTGGTTAGTGGTTAAAAACACCATAGCGAAGCCTTTAGTCTCAGCAGAGCTGCAATCAGCTACACACAATACAGTAGAGCAAAATAAAACACTTCTAATGGGACGCAAAGCCCCAATTTTTCAGGGCTTAATCATCCTGTCAGCTGAACCAAGTCTGTATTCCATCTTGGCTGTAAGCGGAGTCACCTGCTGAGAGGTGAGCCTTGCCAGTGAAGCTCCCAGCCCCAAGCCCCCAAGCTTTTCCCAGGCTCCGTTCCGTTCCCACTCCCCCATGGCGGGGAGACAAGTGACCCCCACACCATCCCACCGTGCAGGCCCAGTCGGAGCCCTGAAAGGACAGCAGGGGCTTGGGGCCCATTTGCCTCCCTGCTTTGAAGCTAATCCCCCGCACATTGTGCATGACGGCACCCTACCTGGCCTGCCAGAGAAGCGGAGATCAACAGCCTCTGTGCCCGCTGCCTGCTCTATCCATGGTTATATCTTCCAAAGTTGCCTGCTATTCAGAGCAGGTGATGAATGAGGGGCTATCTACAGGAAGCCGGATTCCATCCCTGGCACTGAGACGAAGGCCACAATAGAAACTTGATTTAGACAGCCAAGAATGTATTCCTCTACTTTTGGGAGAACTTCAACTTCAACCTCAGCAAATAGCAATGAAAGGATATATCACTGAATAAAAATGGATTTTATCTCTGAGGCTGAGTTGATGGCATGGCAGAAGTAAACAATTACATACACCCTCAGGATAACCTCACACACATGCCATTTTTTCAGAACAGATCAGGACAGCAGGCAGGCAAACACCACACAAAACAAGCGCAACATGTTTCACATGCTGCCGATGATGATGTCTACAGAAAATTCCAGTGACAACTTGCACCGCCTTCACCTCCTTTCTCATTTAACAAAATAACACATGCAAATCAGATCCGCAGCTAGAATGCGTTGTCCCACGCGAAGAGTCAGAATCATACAGCTGTACATTTTAGAGCTGAGGGATTGAGCAGCACGCAGCTGCTTCAAGAACTCCCGAGCAGGACGTGAGGTAAGAGAAAGTGGCGGAGGACGTCCTGACTTACTGTTCCTTTCTGCTCAGACTCTCGGCCCATGGGGAGAGGTTTGGAGGAAAGAGGGGATCTCGGGAGAAATTAGGATAAAGAATTGGGCAAGATGGTGGAAAAATCTTTTTAGAAAAGCACGGAGAGGAGATGACAGAGAGCAGACATAGCAAGGAGCCTGGCTGTGACATCACGTAGCGCCACTGTGGACTAGAGGATGCTGGATGCTGTGGTTCTTAAAGGGACCGGCATGGTGCTTATGAGGGAAGACTGAAACGGGTATGGCACAGCTGGGTGCCGTAGATACAGAGTGAGTCGGGTGTTACTGCACAGCACGACTCCCGTCAGCCTGGACTGACATGGTTGTGTATGTGTGTGAGCTGCATGCCTTGAAGCAGGACAGTGAGGTAATAGGCTTCTTTCAACCCTGGGGAGGGAAATCTGAAAGTGTTTGGAAAGGCGGAGGGGAGAGGAGGGAGGAAAGCAGAGTAGAACAGAAGGCCTGTCTGGTCTCAGCAGGGGAGAATGGGGTGCATGAAGGCGGGTGGAGAGAGACTGAGGAACAGAAAAAAAAAGACACGTTCAATCTCACTATGTGTTTGTACTGCAACTGGCCACTCTATTTATAGCTGATATATGTGTTCAATATACGTATCGTCTTGTACATCTACATGTAATTTTGCCTCTGCACACAGAGGATTTTAAATTGACCATTTAAGATGCGACTCAAGTGCAGACTTTCAGCTTAAATCAAAGAGTTCAACAAAATTATCGCATTCACAGCCATTTTTATATGTGTTCCTTTGTTATTATACGACAAATCAAGCAGATGGAATTGAACTTGGATTCGGTAGCTGTTCACTGATTCTGAATTACGAAGGTCATGGTTAGGGTTAGCCTGAAAGCCCCAGAAAAGCTCCAGAGAGATCGCAAAAACTGCAGAAGTGGCCAAATCAGCAATCAGGTACCTTGGTAGAAATAAGGAATGCGCTGCCCAGCTCAGCATCACCAAAAGACGTAAAAGACCATAGAAGACATTTAAAGTGGATGATTGTAGAATCCTCTCTTTGGTGAAGAAAAACCTTTCACAATGTCAACCCGTATCAGGAACAGTCTTGAAAAGCTATGTGTATTATTGCCAAAGTCTACAGCCAAGAACTTACAAAAAGGTGCAACCCACTCATTACACTCAAGAACAAGACGGCTAGATTAGAGTTAGCAAGAAAAAAATGTAAGAGTCCGGATAGTTGTGGAAAAAAAAAAAATGGATACAATTTGGGCAAGATCAACACGTACCAGAATGAAGGTACGAGAAACAAATGTAGAAGAAGAGAAAAAGCACACGATCTAAAACATACACATCATCTATCAAAGATGGTGGAGGAAGTGTCGTAGCATGGGCATGTATGGCCGAGCTAGAACTAGCAGGCACGTACGACCAAGTATAACCATGCATATTCATGTATGGCAGTGTAACTACGTCACTAGTGTTTATTGGTCATATGTCTGCTGATAGAAGTAGCAAAATGACATGGATGATGAACCAAAGTATACTGCAAAAGCAACCACTTTTATTACATAAAACACCGAAATTCCTTAACAGCTAATGCAATACTATTATTATTTCATCACTGGCTAGAAAAAACATTTTTGCTTCCAAATAAACTTTGGTAAGTGTTTTTTTCCCTCCTGTATGATATACGTTTACCAAATTCTTGCAGCTACACATTCTCCCATAGATCTCAACATATTCACTGATACCAATATCACCGGTCGACTTGTACAATAAACCAGCCTGCTTTAGTATTTATTGTTCCAACCTAACATCTGAAGAAAGAGGCCGGTTGTGTATTTAAACTCTCAAGGTCGCGATGAGCCGTTTAATCTTGATACGTCTCCCAGACTGTAAGAGGAAGAGCTCTGTCAGAAACCACGATGTCTGATTGCCTTGGGGGTCAAGTGGAAAACAACTCCTTCGCACACAGATCCCCCCCGAAGCTGCACTTGAGGGAATGTTCTTTTGTGAACATCTGAATGAACTACCTTGACCCCAGAAATCTTGTGACACCAGCTTTTCTGGAGTGAAAACACAATGTACTCTCACACAGACATGAGAGAAAGGAAACAAGTAAAGAATGTGGAGTTGCTTCAAAACAATATATAACGCATGTCTAACATTAAGCGGCTGGTCGCAGAGTAGCTCATGAATAATAACATGCCTAGGTGTAAAAACACCCCCCCTCCAAACTCTTTGTAGCAAATCTCAGCTCTCATATCAAAATCATCACAGAGACAGGTCCATTGTTTTCATGTATGTTTTATCTTTAAGACAAAAGCCTTTCTGATGTGCCGCTAACCCTATGTGGCTGTCTTCAACTGTCAACCGCACCCCCACTCAGCGTGGCAGTGGCTGATAATCGTCACTTCAATATTTCCTGCAAACCTTTGATCGTTTACCCGTTAGTTATGACTTCTCAGAACAATACGCTGTAGCTGGCATTCAAAACACTGATAAATCTTTGCATTTACTGGATGGTTACATGGGGATGACAGTGTCTTTTAGATGCAAATGCAATCTGTTTAATGGTTTAACCAGCAGTGTCTATTTATATGACGATTTATCGTTGCAGCAGCCAGTGAAGCGCTTTATGTCCCGGCCCTTTCTTCAGTTTCCGGGGATGTTTTGAAAAATATTTCAACACACTATAGTCTTTATATTTAAGTGGTTTTAAAATATGCTATTTTTTAACATTGTATTTTATAAATGCCATTCTAATTACAAACCCAACTGTTCAGCCATGGAGCAAATCGATAATGAAGCACAGTTTCTCCATTCCTTAGATATAAGACTGGCCTCATATCCCCCCATTTACAACGATCTACAGCAAATTACACGCAACGTAAACTCCATCTGGCCTGGAAATGAGTGTAAGCATGCTTATTAACACAAAGGTTGCGTGCTATTTGGTGCCTGGAAAGCAATCATGTTGTGGATATAGATGGGGAAAAAAGAGATGTCACAGCCGTTAGTAATATCCACACCCAAAACAAGCGTGGTGTCACATGGTCATAAAGTCTCGTATGGAGTAATCTAGACAATTTATTTTTTATTTGGTATAGAAATACTGTTTACATTTGTTACAGTAACAGAAATAAAAGTGACGCTCTTTGCCTCCTACAGTAAGATCAGCCGCCAACGCTAATATCGGCTCCTGCGGTTTAATTGAATCTGCTGCGTCTCTATCAGCGAGCCAGATTTCAAATGGGTTGTGAAAATGGTTTCTCGACTCTTAATTGAAGAAGAGTGAGTGAGATGGGGTGATAAGCGAGCTACACATCTTCTATGCAGATTGCGTTACTTTTCAATTGGCCACGTTTAAGATATTTATTGAGCTGGAATCTAAGCTTAATCTAAAACATGCCCCTTATCATGAGAAATTAATCAGACGGAACAGATGGGGAGGAATAACAAGACTGCTCCAAATGGATGTCAGTCGCCCGTTAGCCGTCTCCAATAGACCGAGTGCTCGCTGATAATAGAGTGAAGATAACATGATGATGGCGATGACGGAGACGAGCACAGAAGTAAAGAACAATTGCACAGTGAGTTAGAAACTCACAGACCTGCTGCTCGAACTTCTGTCTGAGGTCGTCGAGTTGCTGCGAGAACTCTTTGGCCTGCTTCTCCCTGAGGGACCTGGAGCGCTTCAGGTCCTCCTCTACCTTCTCCATCTGAAGGCATCAGAAGAATCCAGCATAAGTTCATTAATTAGTACACAAGCATAAGGCTGTTCATATATGTATATTTAGAAATATCTCTGCAGAATTGCAAGTACAGTAAATCTCATACACCAAACTACCAGAATAACACCCAGGATCTGCGGGAAAGTGAGGCTCCGGGAATATTTGTCTTTTAATTGGAGATTAATGAAGTGCCACTGGGAAAGAACACAACGAATTCCTGTGATGATGCTGGAATGACGCAGCATGCTGATATGCTAATCTACTCAAACTGAAATCTAAATAATTTGCACTGTTACGCAAGCAGTTCACATAAAAATTTATAAGCCTTTGTCTTTGTGTTTTCGCGGAAAAAGGGATTCCGCAGTATTTACCCTGTACTCTACTTCCTCGCACTCTACCTTTTTCAGATTTTCCTGTTCAGGTGACGGTAATCAGCAACAATTGGAAATGCAATTTACTCAAACGCCTCTGTATTTGGGCTACGCTGTGTGTAACGCTCAGGAAATGCTAAATGTGTTTTGATTAATCCATTTAAAATGCCGAAGCCTCCTTTGAACTATGCGCGCAACAGAGATTTGATTCTGCGTGGTGCTTCTTCTTCTTTTTTAAAAAAATCAAAATAGGGCAGACTCTTTCCTTTAAAGTGAGCTCTAAAAGTGAGATGCTGATTTTAAAATGAGAGACAGACAGAGAGAGGAAGGGGGTGATACAGATAATCCATTAGATATAACTCCATCTGCAGACAGAGAAAGAGAGAGAAGATGACGAGAGGATGGATGGGTGATGGAAGGAAGGAAGGAAGGAAGGAAGGAAGGAAGGAAGGAAGGAAGGGGGGGGAAAAGGAGAGTAAAAACCTCTTTTGAAGTTCTTTCTGCAACATTAAAGCCTTAGCCGGAGAACGTGATGCAGCGATGCACAAGTGGGGTGGGGAGGAAAAGAAGAGGAAAGAGGGGGGGTGAGGATGACAGGGATGCAGGAGAGACTGCTCCCCTCTCCCATGGCTTTGATGTGGGCTGAGGATAAAGTCAGATTGGCGATCAGGATGCCAAGGGGGGGCTCAACGGGAAAAGAAAGAATGAAGAACGGGATGGAAGGATGAGAACATCAGAAAAGAGTAGCAGGACGAAGTGGCGCACCGATATAGACATTTTCCAAGGCATCGCTCGCCACACATGTGGCCTTGAATTCAAGTAGCAAGAACAAGAAAGAAAGAAGGCAAACAAAAGTTCTGTCTTCCTGTGCAAATATTTAAAAATATTCAGTGTTGTGGCACTGATCCAAAAGAGTCTACTCGCAATAACACAAAAACTTCAAGAAAGTCCCAGCTTCGACAACACCTGAATATGTTTTATTACTTGAATGGGATCTTCTTCTTCCTTTTTTCTGCTCAGATGCAAGCAGCACACTTTCTGTCTTCTTCTTCTTCTTCTTCTTCGCTTTTTGAAATACAAGAGGGTATTTTAAATTCAGGCTTGGGAAATAACGTTTAGTTTGTTTGCCCACAAATATCCAAAACTCCCACTCAGACATAATGATTAACTATTTAAAATACATAAATAAAAATAATCAGCAACTAAAACTTAATAATCTCTCCAGCATTGGGCTCTTTAAAACATTTAGGACCACACTCGGTGCAGCCTGGTCAATACTGCACACACGCAGTATAGCCAGAAATGCTTGACAAAAGCGCCTATAGCTAAACTGACTTGTAAAACAGCATCAGAAGTTTTCGAGCCGAGTGCGTATCGATCGGAAATCTCTCCCAATAAGCAGCAGCCCACGCAGCGAGGCAGCGCTGATCGCGAGGCAGGCCCGACGTACTAATTAGTCTGCTTGCTTAATGCGGCGACCTGCTCTCCTCTGGAACCTGACCAGCCTACGTCACGCCCACTGACAAGAAGAGAGTTCACTGTGCGATAGCGGTGAAGTGAACACACCTGCTTAATGAGCGGGATTACAAATAATTACGTTCATCTGGAATGACTGGATGTTTCAAAAAAGGGCCTGAGGGTGATAATGTTCTTGGCTCTTGCATATAGATTTTTCAGTGTAAGAGCAAAGGTGCTGGAAAAATAATGCTTTGCAGAATATGTTCTCTGTGGTTAGGCTGAAAAAATATAAAGAGAGTGTGTGTGTGTGTGCCCATTGTTCTGGTTATTGCCAAGCAGGCAGCTCACTCCGCTTGCGGTACAGCAAACCTGACACAGGGTTACAGTTAAAGTGTGTGTGCATGTGTAAACACTAATCTGTTCTGGCACACAACAGGAAACACAAACATTGCACAAGAGGAATGTGCAGTCCTCGCATGAATATGGATGCATTCGTGTAACAGAAAACAGGTGTGCGTGGATGCCAGCCGTGTTCGCTCGCATGCATTGTGATTACGGCGCTTGCTGCTCGTTGCGCGCGCTGATGTGCGTTATCGGACCTGCAGTTTCATGTCAGCGTAGGCCTTCTCGGAGCTGAGCTCCACCTGTTTCTTGAACTGCTCCAGCGCCATATCTGCCTGCTGGATGTGCTGTCTTTGGCTCTCCCTGGCTCTGTCCAGCTGGCTCTCCTTCTCCCTTCAAACCAAACACACACAAATGAACACACGCTACGTAGCCATAGAAACACAATTGCAGACAAGAAATCCAGAAATAGTTAAGAAAGAAAGTAAACTTTTATTTTTGTAGAACTTCTCAAAACAGTAAAAGACAGAGAACAAAGAGACTTAGAAGCAGAAAATCATCACTGTTCTTTTTGCATACACTCTATCAGGTTTGGTTGACCCTTTAAAACCTGAACTGTGAAATAATTGCCATATTATTTTGCAAAATTCTAACTTTTTGAAAACGGAGTATTTATGGAACCTGAGGACAAATTAACAAATGATTAAATAATGACATATTATTTTGCATATATGAGTTTTAATTTGCTACAGCTGACAATTTTTGCAATTTAATGATTATAAATGTATTGTGAAGTTTATTTAGGTTCCCTGATAATATAGAAGTTTTAAAAACTCAGCAACACTCATGTATCAAACACGATAGACTGAGCTTTAATGTGGTGCTTTCTCTCGACATCAAAGAGTGAAATATTCAACAAACAACAAGTTTCTTGTCCCATGTTGAACGATGTGTGAAGATTTTCCATGATCCTTCATTATTATTCACCCTGTTTTAAATTAAAATAAGTCACTTTGTGCATGCGGTATAGCCTCGCTCATCAGAATGCGTGGCTGTATCTCCCAGGCAGGCTTGCCGATGCTACTGCCGATAAATGTCAGGTCACAGTCTTCCAAGAGGAGAGGGACTGACAGGCACACTGAGAGGGATGGCCTCATACTGAGAACTGTCAGAGCCCAGCCAACAGGCCCAGCCGCAACATCATATACAATGTAGCTGTCAAGCTTAACGCACAGAAGGTAGGTGGGGAAGGGAGTGTGTCTGGGCGGAGGGATACAGAGTAGAAAAAAAATGACAGCGCTAGAAGCCAGGGAAGTGTGTGAAGGTGTTATTTTTGTAAACAGCTTTTACATTTCTGTCCATCCATCCACTACACCTGCTTATGCGGAAGGGTAGAGCTGGGCAGGAGACACGTGACACCACGAACAGGCTGTCAGTCAATCACGAAACTGACACCAGACAACGTTGCTGCTGACATTCAAACCTGGAGATGCAAATGAACCAAAATATTTTTGGAGCCAGGTTTAACTTCTTGCTCTAAATTTGCACCTCTTTGCATATTTTTTTGGTTTATTAACTGATTAAAAAAAACTGAAATAAATGCAGACATAAGAAAATACACAGGTATATGCAAAATATTAAAAACTAAAAAAATTACTAAAGAATTAAAAATAAATATACAACAGACTAGTTGACACACGTTTGCTATTATTATATGATTCTATACCCAATATCGCGATGACAAAACTCTGTTGTCACCAATGACTTCGACTCAGACTTGACTGTGAAAAATAATGCGCAAAAGCACGCACATCTGTTCTGCCACCTCCAAGTGTTTGTCACATGATACCCACACTAGATTTTGAAGTGTTGGAATTTGGCAGATTCACTCATCTCTTGCATGACACTTCTTGATGAAACCATGTTGACAAAATCCAACCAAAAAAACCCCCCACAAACCTGGAAAATATTATCCCCTTACACTCGTATAACGTTCGCATTTTAATGACGCCACACGTGCTCCTCACATGTGTGGCGTGCACGAATATAGTCTGAATAAACAACTTAAGAATTGCGCACCCAGGTTTAAAAAACACCAAAAAACAGATCGTAATAATTTAACGACAGCATCTGTTATCCATGTACAGTGCATAAATGGGATTTTGCTAAAAACAGAATTGCGTGAATTGATTTCATTTTCACAAAAAGCAACACTAAATGTGCAACTACAACAACGGGTGCATGGACTGCAGCCACTATTTCAACCCTTCAAGATGCTTCATCTGATTAAAGTACAAAGAGCACAATATCAGGGGGGACAGTATGACTGACTGTGCACTTTTCCCTCTTTACAGTGTGCCTTATGCAGTGCTTTGAGTATAAGTGAATGTGTGGCTGTGTTTTTCTGCTGCCTTGTAAATTGCTACTCTAAGAGGGTATGGATAATTATTCCCTCTGGACAGACAAGCAGCAGCAAGAATGAAATTCTGGCCAGTGGGACATTAAACCAATTAGAAGTACAACTATTACTAAATTACAACAGGCACACATCGGGTGGTGGTCGTCGTAGGGGGAGGCACTATGCTCCGTGCATTTATCTGTACTTCACAAAGCAGGAAGGCTGTCAAAAGCAGCACGATTATGAGCATCAGTGCACAACTTAAAAAATAAATTAAATGAAAAATTGGAAGTAGATCTAAAGAAAGGCATATAGTGGTTTGCAGCTTTGTAAAGTGGTTAATCTCTTCCTGTAATCAAAGAAACAACTTTAGGTGTTCATAAAGACAGAACTGAAACAGAGGCGATAAACCCCCCCCAGCAAAAACAGAGGAGGCAATAAAATAATTTTTTTTTTTTAAAAAACAAAACAGCAGAGAACAAAAGCAGAGGATTGAGAAAGGAATGTGCAAGCTTTCTCTCCTCTTTATAGAGTTCTGTCTCTTTGTAATTTTGGTTTCTCTCATGTTGGACATCAAACGACAAAGTGTGTTTTTTTTTTGCCTCTTTCCCAATTTTGTGTACTCTGTAATTATTAATCAGTCTCGTTGCACGACTGCCTTCCGGACTCAGACAGACACAAAGGATATGTGGGGAGACTGAGATGGAAAAAAAAGAGGAAAAAAAGAGGAAAAGAGAGAGGAAGATGGAAAAATGGATGTCACAGAAATAGCAAGTTTTTTTTAAAAAACTTCCAAGAGGAGAGCGTAGAGAGAGGGAGAAAAGAATTGGGTGTGTGTCTCGCTTGAGAGACAACTGAGCCTGCGCGTGCGCTCACGTGCGTGTACAGAGGCCTTTGTTCATGAGCCACAATCCCAAACTCTCTGTGTGACTGACAACTCTACTCAAGGAGTGCACTATGAGTAAGTTGGAGCTGGCTGCTGGGCCTATACCTCAGAGAATACACAGGAAGAAAAAACAGTGACTGCAGCTAACTTCAAGTATGTGACAGATTGAAACATATTATGCTCTTAAGCTGAGGAGAGCAGGTGAACGCTTGGCCTCTTCGGGGAATCTCGGGAGCATAACTGTGTGTGTGTGTGTGTGCGCGCGCGCACGTGTGAACGTGTGTGGTCACTACAGCGGTAGACAGCGTGTCACCATCAATAACAGAGCAACGAGGGTGAGATGAGAGGACAGCGAAAAAGGAGTCAAGGAGGCCTGGCAGAGAGAAATGGAGAGGGAAAGGGAAGGAGAGGGGTGCCAGCGCCAGGGCGGCCTGTTGGCTTTAAATGGATCTCTGGTCAGAAAAGTGGAAGGAGAGGAGGCTCAAATTAAAGATGTGCCTTCGCTAAAGAGGAAGTCCTCTTATCCCTCAATCCTTAAACAGCTGTTTAAAGGGGAGGAAGAGAGGGCGGCAAAGAGAGAAGAGTGTTTGTGTACTAGAGAGGGTGAAGGAGCTTCCGCCATCCAGCCGCCTGGCAGACAGGAGGGGTGCGGGGATGCCGGCATATTCTGGACTCCTCTGACCACACGGTGCCACGTGCCGCCTGTGCGAGTGCGCGAGCACATGGCGGAAACACAATGAAGTTACTGTATATAGGCTCACGCATGCAGTTGACACAAAAGCACCCGCTGACGTCTGTGCACAAAGGCGAAACTCTTAATTGCTTATGCAAATATTCTTTTCATGTAAGCAAGAGCATTTAAGAATTGTATGGGCTGTGATGTGGGTGGAGCAGCACATGGAAAAGACTGACAAACAGACCAGAATGCACGCTTGCATGTGGATGCCGCTGGTCTCTAGCATAAAAAGCCAGAGAGTCAGTGAGAGTGTGTGTGTGTGTGAGAGAGAGCCAAGTGCATGTGAGTGCCTCCACATCTGCGTCTGTGAGCTCATCCAAACGGAATGATAACGAATCCACAGACACATCAAAGGGGCTTGGAGAAAAAAAGTGAGAGCACATAAAAAGAGAGAAAATGCAAAACTGAAATATTCAGCGCCCTCTGAAGAAAAAATAAAACAGGCTTGGTTTTCATCTGCATCCCCAGAGAAAGAGAAAGGGAGAGAGAGTGGGAAAAAAAAGAAGAAGACAGAAACAGACACAGAATAAGAGACAGACCACAAATAAGTGAACACAAAAGAGAGATAGCACAAGGGCAAGAAAATATTAAAGGCAGAAAGGGTAGAAAAGAGGGAATAGAAAACAGAGCATCGTCGAGCTTGATGGCTTTAAAGCCAACCTACAGTTCTGGCCCTGTTTATGAGCAGCATTTCACTTTAATAAATTAAACAAAAAAACAGCCACAAACGTAAAGAGCACAGCCCTCCGCCTACAGTGGCATCTACACATGTAGTTGTCCGCGTGCCTGCAGGGAACAGTTGCCTCGGTAGCATCTTTAAAGACACGACTGTTGACCTTTATTTTTTTAATTTAAGCCCCAACCTTCTAGCAGTTCGCCCAGCCCCAAAGATTTTGCGGCAAAACGATGAATCAAAGATGCAACAACTAAGTTGAATAATCAAAAAAAAAAACCCCCAACAATTCAGAATTAAAGCTTCGCTCAAAGGCAACCGCTTTCCAGTTTTTCTCAGTCAAGCTGAATATGAATTTGTGGAGCAAAAATAAGACGCATCAATTGGCCAGTGGAGATGCTACATTTTGAATATATTTCAGTATTTTCTGATACATCTTAGACCAGATCAGTCACGGAAATATGCGACAGTGCAATAACTAAGTAGCTGATTTCCACATCTCGGAGAAGTTGCAAAGGGAATCGCTTTGGAGCGCTTTGCTCGAGAACTAGAAGGATATGACATCTGACATGATGACATTTCGAACTTGCTGTGAAGTTTATGCTCTCGCATAATCCCCGGAGAAGAAGAAGAAGAAAAAAACAAACAAAACGACTTTACCTCATACTAGTTAGTGAGTCGTACCTCAAAAACACCTAAA